AAAAAAAAATTTTTTTGTCCAGAAAAAAAATTTCTTGGCTCAAGAATCGTTTCAAATAAATTTTGGTTTTTTTTTTAGCCGACGTTTTTAATTTTTCGTTTTTTTTTTTTCGTTTTTTTTTTTTTTTTTTTTTTTTTTTTTTTTTTTTTTTCAATAATTAAATTAAAAACAAAAATATTTTTAAAAAATTGCATTTTTAGTTTTTCAAATTTTTTACAAATGAAATTTTTTTTTTATAATAATTTTTTCAATAAAAAAAAATTCTAAAAATTTTTAGATGTCGGCTAACTTAATTTTCATCTTAAAATATTAAAATGAAGTTAGTCGACATTTCAAAATTTTTAATTGAAAAAATTACAATTGAACAATTAAAAAAAAATTCACATGTAAAAAAACTTGAAAAACTATAAGTGCAATTTTTTATAAGTATCTTTTTAGTTGTAATTTAATTAAAATTAATAAAAACAATCAAAAATTTTTAAACGTCTGCTAACTTTAGTGTTATCTTAAAATTGGAATTTTGAGTTCTTACTATTTAAAATTATTTTTCACTACAAATATCACTGATTATAATCTCAGATGATATCCAGTGTCATCTTGATCTTTCCGTGTACTTAACATCAATACAAAATTTTATAAAAAAAAAAAAAAACTCGATATCACAGCAGTGCTGTACAAGTTTAATTGAAATAGATATTTAAACTAAGATATCATTTAAATAAAAATTACTCATTTCAATTAAGCTATTATATATCTATTTTAATACGTATTATTGTAAATACAAAAGGCAAACAAAAAATGTTTTTTTTTCCCAGTAATAATTAGATTTAAAAATATATTTTTTATTATAAACTTATTTAGTTTTAAAAATAATCTATAACTATTTATATTTAAAAGTAAATAATGTAATAAATAATGGATTGTAAAAATTTAAGATCTTTAATATGTAAACTAGAAAAAAAAAAAACAATTTAAAGTTTTTTATTATTATACTATTACTTATTAGTTATTACTTATTTTAATTTAACTAGATGCGGAAAATAGATAACGATTGTCGGATTATTTGATAGTTATAAATAAAATAAAGTTGATAAAATTGAACATATTGTCACAGAAGAAAATAAGATGTACGAATGTAGGACACTTTGAGGAGAAGTAAGTGAGAAAGTAAAGACTAGAGAGGGAACATTGAAGAGAAATAAAATAAAATTGCTAAGAGTAGATCGAAAAAAATAGAGTTAAAAAAATAATAGTAATGAAAATCGTGTGTAGATAGGTTGATAGGTCAATGTGCTCTAGTTGAGAGAAGACAAAAATGTTATCAGAACGGCTAGTAGGTGTACCACAGTGCCTCACATTGATTTTCACGGGGGTTGAGAGGATCCAGGGGTGATTTAAACACCAATGGAAGCTGAAGCTGCGGCCTTCGTTCTCTGCCAATCTCTTCTACTTCTACTTCTACATCTACGTCTTCTTCTACTATACCTCTACCTCCACCTCCACCTTTAATTCTCTCTTTATCTTCCCTGGCATATTTTTCGGCCTCATTCTCTTCTCCTTTATCCGTTCTTTCCTCCTCATTTATCATCTTCGTATGGTAAGCGCTACCTAAATTAATCATTCCAATCGATTATAGATTATAGATCACACCTAAAGCATTATATAAATTAATATCGTTCTCTTTTATCCTCAATTTTATTTAATTATATTATATTATATTCTACATGTAGATAATAAATACATAGTTTTTTTTTTTTTTGTAATAATTTTAAATTAAATATCCAGATAATTGCTAAGAATTTAATGTCTACTTAATAAGATAGATAGATATATTTATTTATGCCAAAGCTTTAACTGGCCAGATGGCATAAAAAGGTTACATCATATAAATATTCTACATATTATATTGGAAACTTAATTTAACAATATTTTTTCAAGGTTTCATATCATTACCGATAGTTAATTTATGATGATAAGTATTTGGGCTGCATTCGAAAATAATCTCTAGATATATAATTAAGAAATGACCTTGTATCTTGTGAACTATTGACATTTTTAAAGATATAAGCTCATCCTGACATTACACTCATTGAGACCTTTCATTTGAGTACCCACATCAATATTTCATATATTTATATACTTTATATATATGTATATATGAAAAATATATCAAAAATGCATGTGGGTACTCAAATGAAAGCTCCTGAGGAGTGTAACATCGGGATGAGCTTATATCTTTAAATATATATTATATATTTAAGAAATGACTTTGTATCTTGTAAACTATTGACATTTTTAAAGATATAAGCTCATCCCGAGGTTACACTCATCAAGACCTTTCATTTGAGTACCCACATCAATATTTCATATATTTATATACTTTATATATATGTATATATGAAAAATATATAAAAA